TTTTACATTTATTATCATATTATTTGTAATATTTTAAATTATATAATTTATATTTAATATATTACAAAATGCATAAAAAGATATGAAAATTACATTAATTAATTTAATAAGATTGTAAATTGATGTTGGTAAAGGGATGCTTGTCACCTACTACTCCTTTTAAGTTTCAACACACTCTCTTTACTTATAATACATATACTTATAGAGAGAGAAAGCTTCATAGTTTTAGAGAGAGAAACTGATCCTCATGTCCATGGAGGAGAAACACACCTTTAAGAGCTTTGCAAATGGAAGAGCTTTAACATCTCACCTCTTCAATCTCTACCTTCATTCCAACCCACATGAATACCAGAATCATCAACAAGATTTCCAGTCGAAGAACAACACTTTCCGATCAGTTGACTCTGAAGTTTTGTTCGCCGGAGGTGTTACAGTCACGGTTACACCCAACGCCGCCGTCGCTCGTGGTTCAGTAAGCGAGCCGGAGTCGTCAAGAAACGCCACCGTCCGGAGACGATCGAAACGGATTCGGAAACCGGAGGTTTCTTGGTTCGGTGATCGACGGCATTTTCACCAACTTGATCGTTGTAATCAGTCGCAGTATCTGAAGAAATCGATGATCGTGAACGAATCGTCTTTGGTTGATCCTGACTCAGTGAGTTCAATCTCCGATTTCTCACCGGAAGAAGATGTAGCCTACTGTCTAATGATGTTATCAAGAGATCGGTGGATCGAAGAACATCAAAAACCAGACGACGAATTCGATGATGAAGAGAAAGAAGATGAAAACGATTCCGATACCGATTCTGAATCGGAGAGAGAGATTCTGAACGTGAAACGAACTCCGGCGAGATCGAAATACAGATGCGATACATGTAACAAAGTTTTCCGATCATATCAAGCACTTGGTGGGCATAGAGCGAGTCACAAGAAAATCAAACTCAGTCACCATAACAGCAATCATCAAACACAAAATGTTTCCATGGAAGACAAAATCCATGAATGCCCAGTATGTTTCAAGGTGTTTGCTTCAGGCCAAGCACTCGGTGGCCATAAACGATCACATTTTACAGCTTCATCTTCCGCCATAACTGCAGCTAAACCAGTTACTAAACAAAGGATTAATCTGATTGATCTTAATCTCCCTGCTACAATTGAAGATGATGACGTTAGTCAAATTGAGGTTTCTGCGGTTTCTGATGGTGAGTTCGTCAAACCCCATTAATGGCAGAGATCAAATTACAGGTAAAGTTTTTCTATTTATGGATCTTATGAACAAATGGTCAAATGGGGATTCTAATTTTAGCTTCATATTTAACAAAATCTAAATCTTTCTGACTCTAATTTCAGAGTTTTTTTTCCAAAATTTTGTTTATTTTGCAACTGTTACAGCTTTATTTAAAGACATGTAATTAATGGAAGGAAACCCAAGAGATTTTAATTTTGACTTCCTATTTTCTGCTCTGTTTCTATTTGTCTGCTTTATCTTCGTCTTTGTCTTTACTGTTTAAGCTTTTCGGTAATGGCGGATTGCTTTTTCCAGAGCTGAAATTACTAAATCCTATAACAATGTGGTTATTGTAACTTGTACTTTATGGCATGAAACTTGTACACTACTCTGGCTTTAAACTTAAAATTTGACCAAGAAATTGGGTTCCAGCTCCAGCCCCATGTTCAAATTTGTACAGTACAACATGTATTTGCATGCAAAAATCTTGGACCAAAAAGCTAAAAGTTGAACTTGTTAGGTTAATGTGCATTTAAACCCTTGTAGTTTCATTAATTTGCATTATGAATCCCTAGGAAGTGTTGAGGACATACATATTACACTTTTTCAAAACATTGTATAGGATTTGTCCAACAAATTCTTCAAAACAGAGAAAACAGATATCTTGAGAAGATAGCAGAGAAAGTGTGAAATTCTTCAAATTTGAGTAGGGATGGGTTAAATGGACTTCTATATACTGATTTCCTTCCCATACATATAAATATCAAGACTTACTTTTTATATTTCAATGTATGATTTTATCTTTATTGTAATATAAATAGGGATGAACATAGGGTGCTCATGGGTTGGGTTGATCGGGTTGAAGACATTTGAACAACACAACTCAATGTTTGCGGTTTGAAAAATCTTAACTCAATCTAACCCAAACGAAAGTGCAACCCAACCCAACCCAACCCAACCCAAACTATACGGGTTCGGTCGGGTTGATACTTTGGTACATTAAAATATTCTTCTAACCTTGAATATGTTATTTCTCTATTCATAATTTCTTTTTCATCATCAACCATTTGATATAACTTATCCATACTTCTTACGTATATCACATTCAATTAATTTTCTCAATTTACGTATATATGTTTACAGTTACTAAACATATATACGAATGAGTTATATAGATATGTGAATAGATTGAAAAGATGTGTATATGAAGAACGTATGCGATAGTGTAATTATCTAATGTATATATTAATAAGAATTCAACAATCATATTAAATCCAAAAAAATAAAACAATATCGGGTTAGGTTGGGTTTAAATAATAGTAACTCAATATCAACCCAATACCTACGGTTTGAAAATTTTACAACTTGATTAGATATTGAGTTGCTTCGGGTTGAGTTATTTCGCATTGAGTTGGGTTAGGTTGATCGGGTTTTTGAGCACCCCTAGATGCATATATCAACACTGAAATAAATAACTTTCTTTGTTCTTATTCCCACAGGTAAAAAACTGACATTAAATTTAGAAGATAGAGATAATATTTTATTAAATGCATGAAATATTCTAATAATATAATCAACGTTATAATATTTAAAATAAAAAAGCTGTTGAATTGAATGCAGTTTTTTTGGAGATTCTGAATTTTGATTCTCCATTTTTAAGAAATTTTAGACAAACGGATTCTAAAATAGAAAAAGTTAACAAAAGTTCTCTCTATTTACTTCAACAAATTCTTTGTACTGTTATTTAATAGAGAAAACAAGAAAAACTCCAAATTTAAAGAACTTTCTAAAACTTGATGGAAACAGAGAGAAATAATTCATTTATTCCTACAAAGGAGATTCAGTCATTATTATTTTATATAATTTTTTAAAAGTATATCATAAAATCATATAATATTTTAATAATATAATTAATGTTGAAATGTTTAAAATATAAAATCTGATAAAATTAAATAACTTCTTTAATAGATTTTAACTTTTGATTATTTACTTTAATAGGATAATTTGCATTTAACCTCTCGTAATCTCCGTAACTGCAATATCAGTTGCTGTAGCAAGTGTTAACACTTGAAAGAAAAATTCCAACTTAAGAGTTCAAATTGCTTTTAGATTGTGTTTTGCCTTCTGCATTTGACTGTTCACTTGCTAAGACACGGTACGAACTTGTGCACATGTATGGTACATGCCATACAAGGGTTTTAAAGATTTATTTTTATTAACCTAGATATCCAATTCGCTAAGTGAGCCGAATAATCCCAGCCCGACCACTTGCTTTGCAGATAGTTCGGAGTCACTGCATTTGAACCTCCGTGGCTACAAGAGGATTTTTATTCCTCATTGGATTTGAACCTAGGACCTCCTGGTACTTTCGACCTTTGGAGCCCAGCTCAAACCAATCAGGCACCACCCTTGTGCTTTAGTTGTGTCTGATTTAGAGAATTAGCTACTCGAGTTCGACCTCCTCTATATTGAGCTTTAGTTGATTGTAAACATAAACTAAAAATTGTTTACTTTAACGAGTCGAGTTCTGTAACATCAATGTTCGACTGGCTTGTTCGAAAGCTTGAATAAATTTTTCGAGTCGAGGCAAGACATATGAGCATAAACTTACCCAAGCCGAAGATGTTAATAAGCTCATAAATAATACAGTAAAAATATAAAAATTAGTAAAATAGTTGCTTCAGGTTTTGAGCTCACGTCACAAAATTAGCTGATTGATCTGGAGTTTGAGCACATGAATAAACATACAGAACTTGAATTTTAAATTATGCTCTGTAACTCAAATTTGTTGAACAACATTAAGCTTTGAGCTTGGACTTGAACACATAAAAACTTTTTAAGGTTGAACCTGTTATTTATCTCTTACTCAAATCAACTTATTAACATTTGTAATTGTCACGCATTCAGAGGCACGTAAAACTTGAACCACTGACCATCTCTTAGGAGGTTTGGGCTTAATAATACATTTTCAACAATTGTGCTTATTATGATCTTTACGGGTGCTTAATTGGGTGTTATGGCACGTAGAATTTGAAAAGAGAAGCTTAATTGTGCCTGATTTGATGTAATGGAATGAATAATTATCGAAGCATCTTTTACTCTCGATGGGAATTATATAGATATTCACTATTTGGCTACGTTTCAGAACTAGACCGTCATATTTGGGTTTTATGTAACTCTAGCTCTGTACACCGGACATTATTTTATAAATGACAATGTTAAATATATGTTGTCGTTAATTTTATATGGAGAAGTCATTCAACAGATTCTTAAAAATAGAGAAAATAGAAGTTTTAAGAATTTTAAGGAAAAAAAATTCCGAAACAGATTTTGAAAAATCTTTCTTCAAAACAGAAAAAAGTGGGAGAAAGAGTCTGTGAAATTCTCGAAATTTTTTTTAATAATATTTTCACAAAATATAAAGTTTGAAATTAAATATTTAGTAAAGATAAATAAATGAAAAACTGTTAAGTTTAAATATGATATTTATAAAAATATATTTTGATTCCTATTTTAATTTTTTTTTTCTAAAATACAATTGAAGATGTTCTAATCTTAGAGCATCTCAAATAAATTCTCTAAAATAGAGAAAATGAAGTATTGTTTTCTATATTGCTCTAACAAATTCTCTATAATATTCTCTATGGGGGCGTTTGAGATTGCTTATTTGAAACAACTTATGTTTTTCTACAAAATTATTTATCAACTTATTATAAGTCAGAAGGGTTTAACTTCTTTAAAAACTTCTTATTATCGATTTGGCTCCGATATAAGTTGTTTATCTAAACACTCAAAAGTGTTTATTACCGGTGTCACATCGAAATAAGTCAATAAATTGTTTTTATAAGCAATCCCAAACACCCCCTATATTTGTCTAACAAATTCTTTAAAAAGAGAGAAACACGGAAAAAAAACTCTCAAATAATAGGAAAAAAATGAAAAAAAACTCAAAGTTTAGAGATTTATTTAAAACTTGATTATACTGATGAGATTAAACTATTGTTATTTTATATAAAGTTTTTCTTAAAAAAGTGTACTAGGTGATAAATTAGAGAATATTTTAATAATATAATTTATGTTAAAATCTTTTTATTAAAAAACTTTGTTGAAATTAAATGTAATTATTTTTAAAGATTCTATCTTTCAGGTTTCTATTTTTTTTAAATTATATAAAACCATGCTCCTAGAAACCATACAAAAGTGATTTCAAGGTATTATTCAATGTCAAACTTCTATTTGATCGTTATTTATTGGTTACAGAAGTATCTCAAATCATTTGGTATTTTAGGCTATTTTTGGTAAACTAACCAATAAGCTAGCCGATGAGTGATAAACTAGTTGTTAGCTGATAAGATAATTGATTAATAAATAATATTTGACAAAAACTAGCTGATAAAAATATAAAATAACCAAAAAGAACATTTTGAAAAATTAATCAATTATAATATTTCAAAATATAACTGAAACATATCTGTAATAATATAATATATTAACTAATA